TTTAACATTTCTAATTAAACTTTTAATCAACTTTTAAATTCCAAAACTTGAGGGCAAGTTTTGAAACCTTTTTCAAAACATTAGGGTTTTAACTATTTAAATTTCAAAACTTCAAAACCTTTGGGTTCAAATTTAAACTATAAAACCTAAAGGGGAAAATATGAAACCTTTCATAACAACAAGGATCAAATAACAAATAATTTTAAATTAACATTTAATCACATAATTATCCATATTTGATTTATTTAATGATTTCTTGCAAAACAATTTATCAATTTACTCAAAATAATTAATCAATTATCTTATAAGGAAACAATTATCTTGTTAATTGATAATTATCTTTAATTAGATCAAGAATATAGTCATATATATCATAAAATCGGATTTATATTGATCTAACATGATAAGGTAACTATCCAAATGCAAAAACAGCAAGAAATCCCGAGATAAGCATTATCTGACGCTCGAACTCGCCGAGTACCACACTGTACTCGCCGAGTTGAGGTCTACTCGCCGAGTTGAGCAGCCATAAAGCCCAAAAAACGATTTTCCAGTTATACAATGCATCAATACAATTGAAACCAAGCTAGTCTCTGATACCACTGATGGGTTTTGGTCATAAGACATCCTATGTGCTCATACAAACCCTAATGCTTGGATCTAGGTTTCTCTATTGTACATGCTTTGAATCCAAGACTATAAACCCTAATTCTAGCATACAAGTAATCATATTAATATGTAATTAGGTTTAAGATCATACCTTGATTGTTATGTAGCAATAACAATCCCAATTCCTCCTTGAATTGACTTTGGAAGGCTTAGAGTCACAAGTGTCACTCCTCTAATGGTTCACAAACACCATAAGCAAGAGGATGAAGAGGAGAGAGGATGGAGGCTGCCAAAAACGTGTGTAAACCCTTACAAGAACATTAGCCACGTTTTTGAGCCTTAAGGGTCTTTATATAGTTGGGCTATTAGGGTTATCTAACAAGGAAACCCTAATTTGGATGCTTAAGCCCTAAGTAACCCATAGACTCCTTTAATTAAGCCCATGGACGATTTCCTTATGGGTTTCCCATTTAGAATTCGTCCATCCCTTAATATAAGGCAATCCATGGCCCAAATTGCAATTGTCCTATAATTACAATTCCAGTCCCTTAAGTTTAATTAATCTCTTTTAGTCACAAAACTAATTACCAATTAATTATTGACTAATATTAATTAAACAATATGATTTCTCCTTTAATATATTATTCCCATAATATATTAATAAATCATATTTAATCCTTACTCTCCATAATTCATCCTATCAAGTTGCTTTGGTGAAGGCAACCCAAAAGGACCATGCACCATCGGGTCAAGTACATACCAAAATAGTTATGGACTTAGACACTAATCCAACAAGTCCCATTACCAAAGAGTCAATATGTTTCTATTGCCAAGAGAAGGGACAGTGGTTGCAAAGCTTCCCATTTTACCTGAAAGATCATAAGGATGGTAAAGTCAAAAAGGGTTTGACTCTACTTCAGGTAATCCAGTATCTAACTCTATTAAGTTCCTATTTGGAGATTCTTAATACCTTGTAGCAACGTACTTGTAATATAAAATAATTATATTTAAATAATTATTTAGTAGTGTGTTCTTGTACCAATGTATTAGAGTCGTCTTTCCCAAACTATACCTACTTTAGTTTGAATAAATTTTTTGATTTTGTGTATTGTACTTAGCAAAATAGTGTAGAGATTCCCAATCTATATCAATTATAGTTTGTTCGTAATGTTTTGTGATGTACCGAAAACATTTGCAATCTAATCGTATGAAAGTAAAATACCCTTATGCTCGATATATTACAAAAAGGTTAAAAAATATAAAATATTTTTAGACGTGTATCGAATGCTCTTTTTGAAACAATTGTAAAGGTTTAAAAGTGTTTGTATAAACACAAATTGTATCCCCCCCCCCCCTAAAAATATTAAAAGCATTGAAAATGTAGGGGTATGAACTCACATTGTATATGCGTTTGAGTTTGGGATAACAAAGCGGGATCCTCGAGTTGTTGTACGAGTGAATGACATTACCCTATAATAATTATATTCGACATCGTATTTAAATTAATAAGTATATTAATTTAAATAATGTGTTAAATAATAAAAATTAATTATAGGGAAGACTTACAATTAAATTGGAAATTAATTGAAATGTTGGAAATGTGGAAATGGAGTTTTTGGATGGAAAATAAGGGTTTTCGGTTGGAGGGAATGGGGTTTACTGTTGGATCTTAAATACTTATAAAGATTTGAAGATGACTTTGAATGTTCTTGATAGGAAATATGAAGATTTGAAGATTCTGGTGAAATCATATAAAGATTTGAAGGTTCATGGGTGAATACTGAGAGGATTTTGAGAGAGTTCACGGATGCAAATGAGATAAATGAAAGTGTTTACGCCGAGAACACTTATATTTAAGGGGTGTTTACGGATTGCGATTGGGCCATGACTTAGGTTTTCGGATCCTAATGGGCTCCTTATTGAGTTTTCACCCCAAAAGTCAACCAAGGAAGGGGTGTTCACGGTTGTTGGTCAATGTGTAAAGTGTTTTCAGATTTGATGCTTTTAGAAGGGTGTTTTCGGATTTGTTTTAGACCCTTAATGGTGTTTATGGTTTTACCTTGATTCATTAAGGTGTTTACAGTTTGGGTTTTGGGTTTTGAATCCCAAAAGCGTAAACACTTCCTACCCAATTTAAACCTTTCATTTATTTAAGTATAACCCCTTAACTTTGAATTAATATAAGTTTGATTTGTTTAGGAATAATTTTATGTTATGTATGAAGTTTATACTACCTTATTCCAACATGTTTCCTCAATAATCTTGCATATATGTTAAAGGATCACACTTGTAGTTTAGAATTTTATTAAAAAGAAATAACGGGTTGTCACAATATACACAATCATTCATTTTTTTTATAGCAACGGATTCTATGTTTTTTAAATTTTATATAAAAATATATTTATTTTATGTCATTTTGGATCATTATGTTTAACTGATATTAACCATTAACCGACTAAACCAATACTAATCTCTACCCGGTGCCAATTAAAATACATTAACCAATTATAATGGTTATTATTCTGTTTTGTCAAATGACCGAACCAAACTTCCCATACTCATACTCTCATCCAACCTTCATACTTTACATGGTAACAACCATCACCTAGCACAAATTCATAGAGAGTGAAAAGTAAACTTTGAATGATATTTTAAATAGATAATTTGTATTCACAGGTTTTTTATTTAAACCATCATTCATGGTTCACTTTTTATTCTTAATGGATTTGTGTTAGTTGACAGTTGTTACCAGGTAAGTTACGAAGATTTGATGATAGTTAAGTTAAAAAATATAATAAGAATACCATAGAGAGTTTAAAAGTATCAACGAATAATTTAAGAGTATTTAATCCATATTTTCTTTCCAAAAATTAAGAAGTATTTCATTTATTTCTTTTCCATATCATATTCATCCCCGAAGAGCCACCATGAGGACTGTATTCCGGATCCTATATGCATCGTATTTAAAAATACGTAAGTTACCATCTTTTATATTTTACTTATAAAACCTATTCTTTTATTATATATTTAGTCAACAGAAAGAATTATTAACAAACAAAAAGAATATTTAATTTATAGAGATTTGGAGCCTTTTTTAATTAGCTTGCTTCAACTTAAAAAAGAATCCTAAAATTGCGAGAGTTCTTGCATACGTTATGCCAACCCTTCGCAAGTAATTTACAACCCTCCCTTATAATTAATGCATGCACATATTTTGGATTTTATTTTCAAATATCCAGAGTGAAAAATCTTTGCAATATATAATATACTTTTTTCATGTAATATTTTTTTCTCCTTATTTCAATAAAAGAATAAATTTATTTTTATTTTGATATTTATCATGTTATTAGGCATTTTAATTAATATTATATCACTTGTCAACCTATTGATTTTCTTTTTCAAAATTCAAAATTTAAAATTTTCACTCTAATTGTATTAAATTAATAACATTTGAATAAAAATCAAAATAAAATTAATACAGATTATAAGGTTATGTATTTACTTAAATCAACGATTATAATTTTATATAATTAAAAAATATCTCTTAATTAAAAAATTATTTAAAATAATTGATTAATAATCTTGAATTTGTATTATAAAAATGTAATTAATTTTGTAATGATTGCTCACACGGATTATAAATTAATATTATATATTCAATAAATCAAATTAGAAAGATACCCTTCATCATCGTCTCAGAACTATACTACTACACGTTTGTATCTCAAACAATGTCATAACTAATTTCATTTTAGTCTTAACTTTTGTATCTCAAACAATGTTATAACTAATTTTATTTTAGTCCTAGATTTTTGTTTTGATTTACAATTTAAAACCTTTTATTTTTAAACGGCATAAAAACCCATTATAATATATATATATATATATATATATATATATATATATATATATATATATATATATATATATATATATATATATATATATATATATATATATATATATATATATTAGTTAACCATTCGAATCATTGTACGTAAAGCGGTAAAGGTGTGGAAATTATGAGGGTGGCTTCATATGGTAATGGAATTGTACCTTTTCCCACATTTTGTTATATTTGTATTTCTTGTATAATGCTTTTATGCCTAAATACCCAACAACTTGTTGGTCAAAAACTACTCAAAAACCACAATGAGCACGATTATTAAAGAAATTAAAAAAGTAAATAATATTTCAAAACATTTCTTAACTATAAATTATAAATAAAAAAATGATTTTTTTAACAAGTTGATAGCATTAAAACACTTCTACTTCTCTTCTTTATATATAAAAACACTTCTTTTGCAATCCATTGTGAATGAAATTATTTTATTAAATATTTTTCTATTTCCTTAAATTCTAATTGCAAACTCATACTCAATCTCCTTACAATGACCGCAGTGCCCTCTCCCCATCAAAATTCCACCACCCCAAACATAGAAATGCCATACCACCACAAACAGTCACCACGCGCCACCGCCGTCGCCCCCAGCTGCTCATCTTTCTTCTCGCCAAAACTCTCTGTCTACCTTTGCTCAATCTGCGTTACCCTTTTCGTCGTCTTCCACATTCAAATCCTCCAAACTCCATTACCATCTTCACCCAACACCCTTGCCTTCCTCCATAACTGGCAAGAAAAACTGACAACCAACGACGACTCTCCTTCATCATGCGCTCCAGATCTCGAATCCATGGGCGATAAGCTTCGAGAATCCGTTACTTTCCTTCCATTGAAAGACCTCCGGTTCTCAAACGCCGCCCTCGTGGGCCACACATGGTTCATGAGCTCGCTCTACGACACACATGAAGAAGGTGAAGTCCAATACCAACAATTCCCTTCAAAGTCATCCGATGGCCGGATTCTCTGCATCAAAGGTCACGACAATCACGACGGATCATGGAACTACTATGCACTAGCATACCCTGGATTCCTACCCAAAAACGCCACCCTCGTCACCGGCCGGACGTTCGTATCCTACAACCACTACGATTTCAGTAACATCTGGCACGGATTATCTTCCCTTTTCCCGTTCGTTGCGTGGCATCTGAAAAACGATTGCGCATTGCCCAGTCGGTGGATTTTATATCACTGGGGTGAGGTTCGGACTGGAATGAGCCCGTGGTTGAATACGCTTATGGATGCGACGTTCGGTGGGGAAATGAACATTGAGAAGTTCGATGACGGCGGCGACGAGCAGTCGACGTTTTGTTATGAGGAGGCGGTGGTGATGAGGCATAACGAAGGAGGGATGTCGAGGGAGAGGAGGATGGAGGTTTATGATCTGATTCGATGCAAGGCGAGGATGATGTGTGGTGCTGAAGTGGATCGTACCCGACGGCGAGATTGGGTTGACGTTGTTGATGAGGACAGGGCCGAGATCGTTTAGAAATGAGACGGCGGTGGTGGAGATTTTCAAAAGGGAGTGTGAGAAGGTGGAGAACTGCCGTTTGAGGGTGGCGTATTCCAGTAATCTTACCATCTGTGAACAGGTTAGTATAAAATGTCTATTTTAATTAACCTCAGAAAAATGATTATCGATTACATGAATATTTGTTAGCGAAAAATACAATTCGAAATTTTAAAACAAAAAGCACGTTAACAAAAAGCACATTGTTAGAAATATATGACATGCAGCAAGATATAACGTCGTCCACCTTAGTCAAAATTTTTTTTTTTGAAGGGTTTCACTATTACAAATAAAACTATTACAAATAAAGATTATCTTCCACATTACAAATAAAGATTATCTTCGATGACAGTTTTTGTAATCCGTCACTAAATAGATTTCACCGGCAGAATTACACTAGATTTATACTTATTAGGACTTTACAATAGATTTCCAACAGCGGTGGTTTCCGACGGATTTTAAGGATATAAAGATTTGCACATAATAATTGATAGTAGTGAATTTTTTTTTTCCAACCAAACATAATATAAAACCAAAAAAATTTTCATTATGTCTAATAAAAAAACAATTCATTACATAAAAAGTTAAAAACATAACAACGATATATTACAATTTGAATTTATACTCTTTGTGTCGTTATCTTTTAAAACCGCTCAATTACTTTTTCATTTTCAACTTTCACAAGTGTTTCGGTCTCAACATAGTAAAATAACATGTTTTTCAAAAAATCATAGTCAATTTTGTTACACAAGTCGGTTTTCAAGAGCTTCATCTTCGAAAAACATCTTTCTACACTTACAGTCATTTTGGGTAATATCAAAGTAAACCAAACGATAAGACCGGTGTTTCCGCGTACTAACCATCAAACGAGAAAGTTCGAAAATTCCTTTCAAACTAGTGAAGCGCTCATCTTTGATCGAAGAGTAATAAAATATTTCAAGTTGTCCTTCAAGGTTTATCGAATATGAATCATCAAAATCATACTTGTACAATTTACCCAACTTCAACAACTTTGATTTGTCAAATTGTGAAAATGAATCACAATGGCTCAAAGCACCCATGTATTCTAGTAGTTGGATGGTTGTTTTACTAAATCGGTCACAATATTTTGTTATTTACATATCCACCACCGTGTTGAAGATTTCAACCTCAAAATGAAATATATTAATCTTTGTGGTCTTATAGTTTCTCGCACCAATATACAATTTTTCCATATCCAAAGTATCAATAATGTGTGTTAGACATAAAAAGGATACATTTGGCAAAATGCTAGCAAACCCTATGTTTCTTAAGGATTTCATTGCCTCCGCTATCTCTCAAACCATCGAAGACGCTTCTAAAATTTCTAGTTCTATTTTTGAAGTTGCTTTGATAATGCACCTCTTGGACATTAGTTCAAAACCACCCCTACCATATCGAGACACCTATTGTGTTCCTCCTTGTATATAACACCTTCACACAAAAGTTTTTTTTTTATCGCCATTTCACACAATTTACTCTAGAAAATACCTACCACTCTAGTATTTTACCTTCCGAAACACTTAGTTATTTTAATTTAAAACAATATTAACATAGAGAGAAAGAAAACAAAACAATGAAAAAGAGAAATTGTTTTGAGGTTCTTTAGTCACTCCACAATCAATAAACGTCATATAGGCTTAATATAAGGTGGTGTTCATAGATTATAACACCCTCCACGTTAGCATAACACATGGTGTATTAGCACCACACTTTATAGCATATTACTTTAGATATATCACATTAGTTTTTTGCAATTATCTAATATTATTAAAATAACAACATTCTTATAATCCATTGATACATCAACAAATAAATTATAATTGTTAACGAATATAATAATTGTACTATATATATATATATATATATATATATATATATATATATATATATATATAATCACTTAAATAGTTTATATATTTGGTCATAATCACATACTTTCCTTATGTTTCAAAAAATAATAGTATTAGTTCTTAGCAATGTTCCAAATAACGTTAGGCGTGACTTGGAGACAATATCAAGCCTCAGGCTTTACAAGTCATGGTATGTCATGTCGTTTGTAAGGTGTGACTTAGGGAAACAATTTTGTATATAATTAATGATTCTTTCTCTCTCTCTCTGTCTGTCTGTCTCCCTCTCCCTCTCTCTCTCTCTCTATATATATATATATATATATATATGTGTGTGTGTGTGTGTGTGTATGCATTATACTATAATTTACTTTTATATACATATACGATTAAGACGATATGTTGTTAAAACGTGAAGACATATACAAGCCATGACGTGCTATGAAGAAGCCATGACGAGTTTTTTAGAACCTTGGCTCTTAATCTATATAAGAAAACTACTTTACCATTTGTAATATATATTTTACCTAATTTACAGTTACAAATAATATAAAACTAAAAAAGGGCCCATCTCATCCTACCCATCCTACAAAAGACTACTGGATTTAGGTTGTCGATGAGTGAGTGTTGGAGGAGAAATAGATAGAAGGAGGCAGTGGTATGTATGGTCGGACCCGATGAATTAAATATTTTCAAAGGCCCAATATGAACCAGAAAAAAAAAGATCCTTATCGTGATTATACGTTTTTACTTTTAAATAAATATATATAATAAAAAAAATTAAGCTCTGTGCAGCTGCCCACTTTGCTCACTTTAACGCCTCCATGGTGGTATGAATCATGGCAATAGTAGGAACGCAGAGTAAAAAGGACAACTATTTGGACATATAGACGATATGTTGAGTTGGATGTGTGAGAATTTCAAAAGTTTCTATTACAATTAATAAGTAATAGAAAATAATATATAAAATAAAGGTTAAAACAGTCTTTTCAAATGAAAAATTAAATATCTTTATACTTTCTTCTTAATTATATTTCTATCCGTTTGAATGATGACAATGTCAAAAAATATAATTAATTTTATCAAAATATGAGATTTGCTATTATTTCACATTGGTATGAAGATAAGTAGTAAAAAAATGTAGAAGAATATTTAATTTCTCTTTTAAAATAAATCAAGAACCAAAACCATTGTTGTCACCATGTTATTTTATGTAATTGGAACTAACATGTGAGTTAAGGGGCTTAATAATTTGTACTATAATATATGTACGGGTTTGTGCAGAGTGCACGCAAGTATAAGATCGAATTAGAAGTCGATTCGACGACAAGTCGGGGGTCCAGGGCAGCATCTAGGGTTTCAAAAGGGGCAACGCCCCTTTAGCGGGGTCTAGGGGTAGCACCCCTAGGGGGTTTAAGGGGCAGAGCCCCTGGTTAGGGTCCCGTTGGGTTTGGGGCAGCGCCCCAAAAGGTCTCCGAATTTTACATATGGGACCATAGTGGGAAAATCGAATTATTAAGGTGATTATGGTAAAAACTAACGAAATTCATTAGTTTTGAAAACCCTTGATTTCCTCATTAAATTCTGGATTTCCTAACTTGCTTCTAAAGCAACCAATGACGGTTAACCCTAAGAGGCAAACCCTAAATCCGTTTATTATATAAACGACTCTTCTCTTTGAGAAGAAATACGCAATCATTAGCTCTCTTTTATTCAGACGAAGATAGAATCATTTTAGCAATTTAGCTTACGATTTTTTGTCCCTAGATTCGTAAGTGTCATTTTAAATTATCCTAGGCTGAATTTCTTGCAACTCAGGAATATGATAGAAATATCAGTTTGGAAAGTATTTACACGATCCAAAAGGTATTCGAATCTCCAACATAAACCCTAATACTTCCAACAGCCACAACGTTTTTGAAACTATAACCACAGATCAATTTTCAAAAGTTGGATCAACATACAATATACATGGGAAATTCTATATGCACCCCAAGAAAAGAAGATGGACCATTTATTTAATCTACTTATACTTATATTGTAGTTTTATGTTTATCTGAAAAGTTAACAAATGAAGGTATTGATAAATATTATAGTTTTATATTTATCTATCGTATCTATAAATAAAAAATTACAATAATAATTCCAAACATAAATCTGGATTTCACCACAATCTCCATCTTGTTGCCTATATATCTCGTTGCTTACACAAATCTACATTCCACAAAAAAAAAAAAAAAAAAAAAAAATCAAGAATAATTTTTTTCTATCAAAAAATATATTGTTTAGGTCGCAGAAGATATCACTACTCTGTAGAGAGGATATTGTAGATTCAGGTACCATATTGCATGCAAACTAAGCAAATTTGTGAAAAAAATCCCCAAAATTCGACAGTTAGCATGAACATGCAGTATGAAATTCGAGTCCTCACTATGGACTCTTTGGTCATTTTTGTAAACCGTCTTTTTTTTTTTTTTTTTTGGCACTACAGTAAGTATTTTGGTTATATTTGAAATTTTATGTTTTAGATAAGCATTTATATACCGTATTGTATCATCCGCATTGTACTTTAATATAAAGTTATTATTTATACAAAAGGGTTTAGGTGCGGTGGAAAATTGTTATCTCCAAGTAGTTAAAACTTCAAGTTACATTGTGAATAAAATTAATAAATTTAAGAGTAGGTAGTGGGTGTATGTGTGTAAACGGTTTAATTTTTTTTTTTTTTCCTATTTGTCTAGATAAAAGTTTTAATATTTAAATAAAAAACTTTGATTAATATATTCCTAACATTATAATGTCCGTGATTATATTTTAGAAACAACATAATTGAGTAAAAGTAAAAAAAAAAATGATATATAAGATTATACATTTATACGTGAGTTAATTCGCGATTTATAGATATCTTTCCTTATTTATTTTTGAACGGCAAAAAACTATATATAAAAATCCAACAAGCATATGTTGGTTTTTATCTAATAATTAAAATATATAATTAATAATGTAAAATAAATATTGTAAATATACCTTTGATTGTATTTGAAGGAATAACAGAATTTACCAGTCATTATTTTAATTTAAATTAATTAAGCTTACTTCAAAAAGGGTTCGTCAATGAAGACTTATCATTTTCAACCCGGTAATATTCATCCACTAAAACTATCTCGTTTTAAGAAAAAAAAAAACCCAATTGTTTATTCTAAATTGTTACAAATTTCAACATTTTTTATAGATAACTTTACCAAGAAGCACTTTGACATGTATTTATTACTCCTAAATATCGGGATAAATACAAAATTGACAAAATGATTTTTAAACTTTAGCATAAATCATCTCACATTTTTGTATTTATCGAAATAAAATAACCATAAATTCAAATCTGAAAATATGTATGCTTAGATTTTAGAAATAGAAAAACCAGATAATTGCACTATATTCACGAAGCCAATTTGTTATTTTATAACTATCTCCAGATATTTGTATGTTTAGATTTTAGAAATAGAAAAACTTGGATAATTGCATTATATTCAGGAAGACATTGTTATTTTATAACTATCTCTAGATATTTTATAAATTTGTGTATAAAATATCTAATCTTTGGTTTTGAACGAATAATACAGATAAAATTGATGGGATTAACAGACATATTAGTTTCTCCACACGGAGCACAGCTAACTAACATCTTCCTAATGGATAGAAACAGTAGTGTGATGGAGTTTTACCCAAAAGGTTGGCTCAAATTAGCCGGTGTCGGTCAATTTGTCTACAAATGGCTAGCCAGTTGGTCTGGAATGAAATATGAAGGGGCATGGCGGGACACAGATGGCGAACATTGTCCCTACCCTGATGATGATCGTCGTTGTATGTCCATCTATAAGAATGGTAGAATTGGATACAACTCAACTTATTTTCGTGAATGGACTTCCAAGGTTCTTAATGAAGTTAAAATGAGGAAATTTGAAGAGGCCTCAAAAGGAAGCATAATTCGTACCAAGTGTGCTTGTAGCTAATATGTACAATTTTCAATACATAAATTTTAAGTTCTTTTAACATTATTGTTTTGAATTTGAGCATTCATGCTTTGAGGAAAGTGTATGCTATTTTCAAAAAACTTAGTGATATGATTTTAATGGCGCAGGAAGATTTGGTTAGTAAACAAAGTATCGTATCACATGAATTCATATATTAATTTCGAAAAAAACTAACATTATGCAGCTTAAATTACTGAAATATCAATGGAATGATTACATATGAAAAAGAGTTTATGTTTTGCAAAGTTGTTCCATGAATTGATTCATGTGCCATGCGTTTGTTGTGAAAGCCAATTGCAATAATACATTCACAAGCTACGGGGTACTCTATGCAAGAGTTGAGTCCAACATTTACGAAATTATTATGAAACATGGAGGTAGTGGATATCAATGATTATTATTTTTTTTTTTAATTTTTTTTTTAAATTTTAAAAAATTTTTTTTTTTTAATTTTTTTATCATTGAATATTCAAGTCGACAAATTGGATAAGAGAGCTTGGGTGAGAAAGTTGGGTGCTTATGTATGATATCTGTATTAATTTCTAATTTCTTTCAATTAGGAGGCAAACTTATAGCATCTAGATGTGTTTTCTATTAGCTACATGTGGGAAATGCTTATTATGATTTTGCTAGCTACGTGAGGTTGTTGTAAGGATAACCAACTTTGGTTTTCGTTGAGGGATAATCACATGTATGGATAACCAACTTTGATTTTTGTACACATTTAATCACTAAACTTATTTTTGTGTTTAATATACCATTGAATTTGTTGAAACTGTCCAAAAAAAATACCATTATGACTGGGTACAGTAGGTTTTGCCTGTGTAAATTGTTTTTTCCGACCAAAACATGATTTTTCCGGTGAAACATCTCAAAACTACGATCCAAAAATTTCGTTTTAAATCATTAATAAAACCATAGTAATCAAATCATCACATAAAATCATAAGTCATTGTTTCTCAAAACATCATAATCATCTAATAAATATATCAGAGTAAAAACATCCAAGACTAAACAAATGGTGTGTGCACTGCAGTCACCCTGAGTTCTTTCCCTTGCTACTGGAAGTAGCTGAAACCAAAACTGAAAACTATAAGCATGAAGTTTAGTGAGTCTCCCCAAACTACCACATACCATACACATAATTATATAATTACATAATAACATAACATTGAGCCTTGCCCGCTACATCGAGCACCCCCCCACCCCCCCCCCCCCCCCGCGTATCTAACCGAAGCCTGGTATCGGGCCCTGCTCGACATCGGACCGAAATCCGGCATCATGCCCCGCCCAGCATTGAGCAAAGCTAGGTATACATATAAACATATCAACAAATACACATAAATAATCACATAACATACACATATAAACATTCCTCGAACCCCGACCCACATTGGACTGAGATCCGGAAACATATAAACATTCCTCAGGCTTACCCCGACATCGAAACGAAAGTCCGGAAACACATAAAACAAGCACATGCAATAATCACGAAGACATCAAGCATACAAACATTTCTCAGGCTTTCCCAACATCAGACTGAAGTCCAGAAACACATATACAACTACATCGGGCACTGTCCGACATCAGACCTTAGTCCGAAATATGCTAACATACATAAACGGGCTGACATTGGTGCCTTCGACCCGTTCCTATTGGAGGAAAACTCACCTCAGAAAGCTGTTTGTGGAATCTCTCGGCAAGGAATCTCTAACGGATGCTCCAACAACTCCCCGACTATCATCATCACAACAACACTTAGTCAAAATCCCATAATCCTTCTTAGGGTAAAATGACCATTTTACCCCTGGTCTAATTTAGACCATAACCTAGGCCCAATTCCCACTAATCTTTCCAAGCCCACTAATGGCCTAATTTTCTAAATTGGGCCCAACTCCTCAAATGGGCCTTCCCTTAAGCCCCACCATATCCTTGTCCCATTAATTGACCCTGATGGCCCACTAAGGCTCAAAAGCTAAGAAGTCCAAAGATTAGCCCAAACCGAGGCCCAAATGTCGTGAAGCCCAAATCAGTGAGTACGCAAGGCATACTCCTCTGTACCCTAAGCGTACAGGTTGCATGGCTTGTATGTTGTGCGTATTGGCTTGTATGCCCAACACACTTCCCTATTAAGCCTTAAACTTCAAAAGTGCTTAATTCGTTAAGACCTTAAGCCCAAATTACAGATCTGGGTCCATTAACATGTCTTAACTCATAAATTCGATCACTTGGTGGCTTGCAACCCACTAAATGGACCCAAACTTGGAATATAAGAATTAACTTACATGGAAATGGCTAGAACTCATGTATGGTCACAAAAGGACCTTAAAGATCGAACCTTTACTGATATCGGGACACATTTAGCACTAAGGGTGGAAACCCTAAGCCTAGAAACAAAGTTGATCAATAAAAATCCATTCTTTGGACCTAAGAAGGTCCAAAACTCCATTAACATGGATCTAAGCATTCATGAGGCAAGTTTAAAGCTTTTTACCTCAAATGAGTGCCAAATGGTGATATAATCTCGGATCCTTGATCTCAAGATACTCAACTTCTTCTTGTTCAACATCTTCTTCCTTCTTTCAAACTTCTAAACACCACCAAGAACTTTACAAAGCCAAAAACATACAAGGATGAATAATGAGAGGCTATCTAGGGTTTCTGAGGTTGAGAGGCTGGTAAGGAAGCTAGGGTTTGAGTCATAATGTTGTATTTATATGGCTTAAACCTTAAAAGTTAGGGTTTGGAATATGCTTACGTACGTTGCACGTACGTGCATGAAATCCCCACATCCAATGCTACACTATGCCCCACGTACGCCAAGATTACACCCAACATATGTCTTCGGGCAACCCAATCTTATCGGCCCACTTGCTAAAGTCCACTCAATAATCCATTACTTATTCAATAGACCAACAAAACAAATTACAAAGATATTAAATTATTATTACCTCAAATGATGGATGTTATAATTTGCCCCAACTTAAATCAGACTTCGTCCTCGAAGTCCGTTGCGTCTGGAAATAACTCCGGATAATGCTCCCTCATCTCCTCCCCAGGCTCCTAAGTCCACTCCGAGCCCTTGCGGTGCTGCCATTGCACCTTCACCAACTCTACCCTTTTGTTACTCAGCTCTTTCATCTTCGTGTACTGGTCTCTAGATGTAGTTCAGGTTGTCATCAACATGTATATCCTCTAATGGTACAACTACAGAGTCATCCACTAAGAACTTATACAACTGGGAGACATGAAAAGTACTATGGATCTGGCTGAGCTATGCCGGAAGATCCAAACGATAAGCAACCCGACCCATCCGATCCAAAACCATGAACGAACCAATGTACCTATGGCCCAGCTTGCCCCACTTCCTAAACTAGATGTCGACATAGCTTTTATGCCGACTCTGAGCAGTCTGGAGCCTTCTCCGAACTTTATGGATCCTCTCATTAGTCTTGAGTACTACTTCAGTACTCCCCGTGAATCTATGACCAACCTCACCCCAATAGATTAGGGTCCTAGACTTCCTCCCATAGAGCATCTCAAAGGGAGGTCGATCTATGTTGGCGTGATAATTGTTGTTATACAAAAGTTCCGCTAACGGAAGATACGTATCCCAACTGCCATCGAAATCCAATACACATGCGCACAACATATCCTCGAGAGTTTGGATAGTCCTCTTAGTCTACCCATCAGTCTGAGGGTGGAAAACGGTACTGAAGTGAAGACGAGTACCCATCTCGTCATGAAACCGCTTCTAAAATCTGGAAGGGAAACGAAAATATCCGTTTGAGACAACCGAAACCGACACTCCATGACGTGCTACTACCTCGCGTACGTAGATCTAGGCTAGTTCCTCAGCTGATATACTCTCTTGGATCGGGATGAAATGAGCACTCTTGGTCAATCGATCCATGATGACCCATATCGAATCTACTCCATGTACGGTCCTGGGAAGCTTTGTGATGAATCCAATGTAATATCTTCCGATTTCCACATGGGAATATCCGACGGTTGCATCTTGTCATGAAGTCCCTAGTGTTCGTCCTTGACTTTCCTGCAAGTTAAGCACCGCTCCACGTACCAAGCTATGTTCTGCGGCATGCAGGGCCACTAGTAATTAGGGCAAAGATCCCGATACATCTTCATCGCCCTGGGATGGAAGGAGAATGTCGACTTATGGGACTCATCCATTAGAATCTGTCGTACCCTGCGCCAGTACGGAATCCCGACCCTCCTATGCAGGGTCAAAAACCTGTGGCTGTCATAATCAAATGAGGCCACCTGGCCTATGATCGGATCACACTTCCAGTGCTCTTCCTTCATACCCTCGACCTGGGCCTCTCTAATCCGCTCTAGTAACGGAGTAACCACTGTCATACTCAGACAATCTTGGAGAACCAACATGTACCCTGAATCTGGTCAAATAAGTCATCAATCCCCTAGAAGGGATAACAGTTCTTCACTGTTACCTTGTTCAAATCCCGGTAATCTATACACATCCGATGTGAGCCTTCCTTCTTCTTCACAAACAGGATCGGGACTCCCCATGGTGAACTGCTCACCTGATAAATCCCTTGTATAACAGCTCTTGTATACGTATCAAATTCAAAGTTGTAGTTGGATGGAAGTACAATGAAAGGACATTCTAGATTAAGTTTTTTAATGAAATTCATCTGTGTGCTAGGAATTATCATTTTGGTTCCCTAGTTACTAGAAATTGGTTAGCCAAACACTACCTGAAAGATGTAATCATGAAGCCCAAGATGACATTGCTAGAGATGCAAGCAGATGTGTTACAAAGGTTTTCAGTGAGTGTATCTGTTGGGCAATGCCAAAGAGAAAGGGCTACTACAATAGGGATGATAGAAGGGAAGTTAAAAGACCACTATAACAGGGTTTGGGACTATACAACTGCAATTAGGTTGAGTAATCTGGATACAACTTGCTTGGTGGGGGTAGAAAGTAATCTATGGTGTAACTATTTCAAAAGGTTTTATGTTGGCTTCAAGGCTTTCGGAGATGGATGGAACAGAGGATGTAGAAGGGAAATATGACTAGATGGTAGTTTCTTGAAAGGGCAGGTTAAGGGGGGGATTTTAACTGCTATTGGGAGGGATATAGACAAACATGTCTACCTAATAGCATGGGCAGTTGTGAATGTTGAGGATAAGGAAAACTGGACTT